GTGGAGGTATGAGTGATGGAGGACAGGTGGAGGTATGAGTGATGGAGGACAGGTGGAGGTATGAGTGATGGTTGACAGGTGGAGGTATGAGTGATGGAGGACAGGTGGAGGTATGAGTGATGGTTGACAGGTGGAGGTATGAGTGATGGTTGACAGGTGGAGGTATGAGTGATGGTTGACAGGTGGAATGTTCCTGTGCCCATTCACCTCACACACCCTTAGATTCTCCGGCTGACTATGCTTTTCAGTTTATTGCATGACTCAGTAAAGCTCAGTTAACATTACCTGTTTAACGGCTTCTCTAACTCCCACCCACACATGTCACGACCTGCATCTTCAGAACGGCTTCCTGTCGGCCTTACCCTACCTGGGTGGTGGGCTGTTTTCAATGCTGTCTGGTGTCATGGCAGACAAGCTGCTGGAGAGAAAACTCCTAAGCGTCACGGCAGTCCGAAAGATCTTCACCCTCACAGGCAAGCAGGGATACAAGGGATCTGGGCCTGAGAGGGACGATTGAGGCTCAGTTAGTTGTCAGATGTCATGAAAAGGAATACAGTAAATTGTTAATGGCCTGCAAATGAAGCATGTGAAATTGTGCTATGGAAATGGTGCTGAATGAATCGTCAGGACTGGTAAGGCCAAAGACAGGCAAATGAAGAAGGAAATCAGAAACTTACTCGATTCTTGTTAATGAAATTTGATAAGTAGGTAGGTGGGTGGGTAGCTGGATGGATGGATGGATAGACAGATAGATAGATAGGTAGATAGATAGATAGATAGATAGATAGATAGATAGAGCATATCAAAAAGGGCAACTAAAATGCTTAAATGCTAAAACACAGAACATAGTCTAAAAAGTGAGGCATCACTATGAAAGTATGTACGTACACCCAGATGACCTGAAACAGAACAGTCTAAGCAACAAGAACGACAACAACAGATCCAACAGCAATGTCACTCTAGTTCAGCATGTCACGCTGGTTCTGTTCCCCGCTCAGGGCTCCTCCTGCCGGCTGCCTTCCTGGCTGCCATGGGCTTTGTGGGATGCAACCAGTCGCTGGCCGTCATCTTCCTCACAGTCTCCTCCACCATCGGAGGCACCAGTGCTGCTGGAGTCTTCGTTAACCAGATTGACATCGCGCCTCGGTACGTCCTGCTTGAGACACCCCCCCCCCTCCATGGTCTGGTCGCACGCGCCATCATTCTCGCATCTGTATGAAACGACGGTGTTACCTGGCCACCTGTTCCGGCACCATGGGCTGAGGGACTGACCTGGGGGGTTTTCCATGAAAGTGGCTAAAGAAAGCCAGACTTTCCCTTAATCCTGCTTCATACGCAGTGGGCACCTAGCTTGAGCTTCCTCTCTCTTAGGTATGCAGGCATGCTGCTGGGAATCACCAACACGTTCGGGACCATCCCCGGAGTGGTCGCCCCCATTGCTGTGGGTTACTTCACCAAAGATGTAAGTGCTGACCTCACGGCCAGCAGTTTATCAAAGACCCTGAATTTGTAAACAGTTCATTTTTATTTGACTCTAGCCAAATTGCTACTTTTTATGCATTTATATAATTAATTAGTAATATATGGAAATAACTGAATTTTTTTTAATTGAATCAATATTATTTCAAAATTAAAATGATTTACAAGCTATTGTTGGTATGGCTGGTCCCACTGGATGCTGTTTGGGTGAGGTTGTGTTGTATTTTATCAAATATCATGGGTGTTATTTTAACAAATCAACTACATTTTTGAGTTGTCTGCCAATCAGGGCTGAGACATTAAATGTTCACCACTTGATATATTTATCCATAGGGAGGCCCTGCAGTACATTCCCTGAAATAGCTAAAAGACTTTTTGCAGGTTGTTTACTTTGCTTAGATGTAGAGTAATCAGTAATGAAGCCATCGCGCTTTCCTTTTCTGTAGTCACAGCACCTCCTACTGGGCTGGAGGAACGTCTTCCTTGTGTCAGCTGCAGTGAGCGCTGCAGGTGCCCTCATCTTTACCATTTTTGGCAGCGGGAAGGTCCAGCGCTGGACACTCAGTGACAATGACGATGGGACTGAAGGCAGCGGGAGGGCAGGGTGACACATGCTGATCTGTAACCCCCAAGCAGAGACACCGGGCACTTCCTGTTACACTGTCTTAGAACTTAGTGCTGTAAACATTCTGACGATGGTAACAAATTTACCAAGAAAAGAACCAAAGCTGTACAGCCAAATACATCAGAAGTTCAGACAAATACCATTGAACATTTTATCATTGTTTGATTTTCCATGATTCATAGGAAATTAAAACTCAGAGTAACAGGCTCCCCCACTGGTACTCCCCACGGTGGGGATGTGGGTTCCACTCCTAGTTATTTCACATTGGCTGTGTGTGGCCTGCAGTCTTTCAGCTATCACAGCTCGGTCAATCCTGCTCAAAGCTATCCTGTAGATACCTTGCAACTTTGTTCATTTGCATCACCCAGTTCTGATTTCTTGGTGAAATTCTCAACATCATGTTTACATTTTGGACTGAATATTCAAAGATAATTTCACATTTACGATACACGTCTTGATTTTTTTTTCTGTGATGTTTACAATAATTTTTAAAACACTTTCAGAATGTCTTTTGGTGCAGAAACGGAAAATGTGCACAGACATTTGATAATGCATTCTTATTCTAGGAGTCTTTGGCAGATTCATAGCTGATGTCCAATATTGCAACGTCCATCATTCCAGTGATTACTCAGGGCTTTGTTAGCTGTTAAACCATTTCCCATCTATCTGATATATGATGTTTTATGTTCTAGAAGGGAATCAAATGCACTTTTTATGTTGGCTCCACATGCAACCTCACTTATGTCACGCTTATGGCATCTGCCGGTGTCTTACATCTAACACACTTTCAGACATTGTTGGGAAACATGAATCTAACTACACATGTGCAGGTCTTTGCCCTGATTGAACTGGGTAGCTGGTGGGTAAGGAACTGAGCTTATTAACAGCAGTTAAGACCCCAAATGAAAACAAATGAGGGCACTGCCACCCTGCATCTGAATAAAAGAATCCATCCATCCTAAGACCCACTTATCCTGGTCAAGGTGGCCTGTGCCCTGGACCAAGATGTACCAATTATTCAAGAAACAATTAAGTATAATCATAATGGATTTTTTTCACTGAGTAGTTGACTAGGTCTTAAGATACCATTAACATGTCTGAATTTTTTGTTTTTATGAAGGATGTCTTTATTATTCCATATAAAATAACAAAGGGATGAAATGTTATGCATATATACTAGAGGCCAATGCAAAACCCAATTCCTGTGATCCGCAAGTATATTATTTTGTCATTGGAAAAATTGCACTTTAAAATGAAACGATTATCACCCATTGAGTTAAATAGATTATTGGGAAAAACATTTTCTATCTATATTTTTATTAAATTCAGTTATCTATGTGAATATTTTTTGTGGGGTAGTTAAAGCGGGACTGTTTTTCATTGACATTGGGGGTGTTTAGATATTCTGTGTGCCAGAGGTAACAACAGTTATTATGTTATTAAATCGTTGTTTAAATGTGTGTATTTGTTGAGAAATAAACGATATAATTATTACATCGATATATGCGTCACTATAAAATTTAACCTCATACTTAAATTATAATAAGGGGAGTCCGCCAGAGGGCGCCCACACGAGCGCTCTTTAGTAGAGGCCTTTGCGCCACGACCCTCTTGTGCGAACCTCAGGCTTGCATCAGAATGTATCTATGACCCGGATGTGCAATTCTGGTGGCCGAAGTACATCCTGTTCGGCGCACCAAAGTTTTGCCGAGTTTGACGAATCAAAAAAGCTACGAAAGTTAGAACAGTGTTCAGAAATGTAGTAACTAAATTATCCGGATGTTTTGCTTGTTCTGATTTATATTATTAGCACAGACATAAATATAAACATTATTGTAAAGCAAAATAAAAAGAAAGAAAAAGGGGGCGCTTATTTAATGTATTACGGGCTACAAAAATGCATGTTGTTTTACTCCCCGAGAGAGACGCCGGGTTCCGCTGAAACTGTACCTTCAGTGTGGCTGAAGCACCTATTTTCGCGTCTGTTCATTGCTAGCTTCTCCGTTATAAGTGTTTTTCCGGTGTGCTTAAAATGTATCAAAGTAAGCAACTCGCCGTCCTCACAATGGTAACCTCAAATAGCATATCATTCATTCATTCATTCATTATAATGACCGCATACACTCAGGGTGGCGGAAAAGTTGATTACCGGATTCTTTCTTTCTGTGATTTGATTGTTTTAAAACCCTCCGGACTAAGTTTAAATGTGCTCAAAGTAGGTAAAGAAATACTAAAATTTACATAAAATGGATGTGTAGGTACCCCAGATTAATATATTGATCCTGCCATGATGGTGTAATTGGTTATCAAGCACATGGTCGCCCGACATGGAACTGTATTCCTCCCCTGGAATATAGGACATATTTTTAAATAGTAAGTGTTTTGTCACCATGGCACCATGGCTGAGATCAAGCTGACCCCACCCTCAAAGAATGCACGTGAGACACGTACTGAAGCGTGACTGCGTCTCTGACTTTTGTCTAGTTTTTAATTGCTGAATGTTTTTATCATTTACCAAAGAGAGTATCTTAGAAACACAGATGATATGCGTTGAAAAGTCAACCGACTAAAGGACAAGATTCACCATCTCCCTTGTGTAGCACTTATTACTTGCCGTTGTGCTTTCGTGAAACCGGTTTTTTTTAAAGCCACACCTCACAATTAACTTACTCGGTTGAAAGCAAAAACGTATCGGTCCCCAAATTGCCTGACCACAGAAGTGACTATACTATACTATACCATAAAAGTATAGTGTGGAGATTTGGACGCGAGTTTCGTAATTTCGTAATGAAAAAGATGAAGAGCCTTGATTTTAGCAACTGAGAACCGGTACAAAAAAACTATCCAAGAATAGGGTGACCAGATAATCCATGTCAGGGAGGACACATTGAGCTAGGACAGGATTTGTAAAATACCATTTCAATTAAAAGGACCTGGATCTCAGTTAAGCACCAAGTTCTTGCTGTGTGCTGATTGGCTAGTCTCCTATAATCATGCATATGCAATTAATGTTAATGTGTAACAGTCGATAAGTTTTTCCAATCAAACCAGTCAAAGCACAAGAAGAAGTGAGTTATTTAGCCAAGCACAGGTGCCTTTCAGTTTTAAAGTAGTTTGTAAAACCTGGAGTAGCTTGAAGTGTCCTCCCTGACATGGATTATCTGGTCAGCCTATCCAAGAAAAGCCATTCATGGGAGAAAGTACTACTCTTAAAAGCAGTCATAAAAGAATCAATCTGTTTATTAATTGTTTTATTGCATTTAAAGGGTAACTCTTTATGTATCAAAGAGATGTAAGAATCCCATGTACGTTTTTCCCCACACTTAAGCACTGGGCTCAGCTAGATAATCGGAGCAGCCCTGTTCATAGGTAACGATCAAATCACCCTCTGTGTCGTGTGTCTTTTAAAATGCACCCATAAGCAGCTTTCATATATAATCATTTTTTATCCTGAAAAGGTCTTGGATATGCAGTCACCAGCAGGTTCCTGTTTATGTGATACACAGAACACCATAAAACTGCTGCTTTAATTAAATTCATCTCCAGGCAAGTTCATCAGCTTTAAAAGCAACAACAGCTAAATTAAGCTTTGCAGACTTGTTACATTTGATACTTAGTATATGCAAATGTGAATGAAATATTATCTTTTTTTATTTAAAAATCCACAGATCCTTTGGTCAGGTGACTGTTTAGACATGCAGCGATCAGAGAGACCTAAAAAGATTAGCAACTCCCTCCTTGGTTTAGTCTTATCTCCTCCAGCCAGTTAACCCCCCAGAAATTACTGCTAAAGTGTGAGTGTGAATTTGAAAACTAAAGTCCAGGTGCCGCACCCCACCCCATCTGCAAATTTTACAGAGGGGGGCACCCCCCTTCGTTGTGCCCCCCCCCCCCCCCCCCCCCCGAGACCCCTCCTCCACCCCTGCCTGCTGAGGTCTGAGTTGAGAGCAGTGCCACTGCAAAACCTTCTTGTGATGTTTTCGATAGGTGTGCAAGAGCCTTCATTGGATGTGTCAGAAGTGCTGATTAAAGTTTCTGTGTGTGTGTGTGTGTGTGTGTGTGCGTGAGATCCAGAGGAACAATTGATGACATGGATGGACAGCTGATGCTACAGCTTTCCTCAGCTCCCAGCTATCGGCCCCCAGCTGTTGCCCCCCCGTCCTTCATTTCCTTCATCCAGAGTCAGCCTCCTACCCCTGTAGAACTCAGCCTGTCACCCTTTAGATAACTTTGAGGCGCCTGTTAGCTGCCACCATTATCTTAAGTTGGTTATTCTTACTCTGAAATAAACCAGTGCAAGAATAACCACTTCATTGAAATAATGATTGTAGGTATATTTCATAAAAACACAGGGAGGTGCTCAGGGTGCCAAACTCCGCTCACTCCGCTCACTCTGCTCACTCTGCTCACTCCGCTACTCTGCTCCAGCTAATACTGGGTCCTTGCCACCTCCTGCATATTCCTGCCACAATAGCTGTCTTGTAGCTGCTCCTGCCCCCGCATTCTGCCTCCTTATCTTCACTCTAACTTATCTGTGTTTAGTGGCCAGTGTGTCCAGCCAAAACTTGGTCATTTACCTATTGTTACCCCCACTTGTTAAAATTACTTATTATTCAAATTGATAGGTTAAACACCCCAGGGCTGAGGTGCAGAGGGTCAGTACAGCCAGCAGCTACTGAGAAACACCACTGCTGATGTGTCAGGCGGCTGATGGTGACCCTGTAGGAGGTGACCCTAAACTCGCTACCATCTTGCTTGTCACAGATCTGTAAACCATTTTTTCCACAGCTTTGGTTCATTCATCTGAAAAATGGTAAATTGTCAATATCTGCAGGCAAACCTTCTTTGCTGTGTGTCAAGCTTTTCTGAATGTAAAATTTATTTGGAAAAATAGTTTATTCAGGTTTGGCCTTACAGAGGTACTGGTGGGTTTTACAATTCTCCCCAACTGATTTATCTTCTGTCCTTCCTGGCTGAACTGACAACAATACAACATCAAGCCTTGATGTGTGTTTTCCTACTTTTCACCTACAAATAAATTTTTCATAATGGAAAACTGAGAGTAAATCATGATAAAGTGTAAGTGATATATTATCGTGTCTCTGAAATTCCACCACTGGAAGGTTCTTGCCTTGACTTTGCCTGAGAACATCACTTCTTTCTAGTTGGCCTGTTGTCTTTCTCGATCTCTCTTGATTGGCCCCTTGCATTGTTCCATTTGGTTACTGAAAACTCTTCTATGAATTTCCCCTAAGCATGGTGCTATTTTTCTAGCTCTGTCTCGACAGTGATTGAGCTCAACAGCTGCTGGCTGTGGCTGCCACATGCACTGGGGCAGACAGAGAAAATGAGAGAGAGAGAGAGAGAGAGAGACGGCCAGCTGAGAGAGCTGGGTGCCTGCCCTGCAATGAGTATGGCCACTGAACACCTGACCTTTGACCCAAGAACCAAATGAGCAACATCCAAAGATAAACTAAGGTGCAAAGACAGAAGCACACAATTAGATCAAAACAGTTTCATTATACTGTCAAATATAGCAGAGGCTACACAAGAAAACATTCGATACCTGATGCATGGAGTCGTACACTGAGTTCAAACATTGTTTTTGTCGGTCATAATGCAAATGACAAATAAGTAATAGATAGAGCATAAATACTAAGACACATAAACATAATATAGACGTGACATTTTAAGATGTGACGTTAAGACAGAATGACACATCTAACCACATGATTGGTAGGGTTTGTGGCATTTAAAAGCTAAAACCAAAATAGATACTAAATGCTATATAAAAACATAGTTGGATGTCAATATTGCTCTCTCACAATGCTTCCCAGTTCATAGTGATAAAAATTCCATAGACTTATTGATTCCAAGGGGACTTTTGACTATGATGTGATTGTGATTGCAATGTGGATGATAATGGAAACTCCCAAGAATTCAGATACAGTGCATGCAAGTATACAGAAAGGCAATTGTGAGTAAGAAATAAAAACAGCAGAGTTACAATGTTGATAGTCACTGGGTGTAGTACTCTCACCGGGCCAGTCTGATAGCTCACTTTCAATTTGAAAGGATTCAGAGATGAGTGTTGATCACCCTGAATCTCCGAGACAATAAGCAGGGATCTGCCTGGTCTGGCTGCCATTTGCCATGTAAACACTCTGGAGCAGAATGCAAGTTTGTCATGCTGATTGGCCTATATGCCTTTCAGGGGGCAGGGAGGCCGTGTATTGAAATGTTATCACACTCACAGAGCTTGTATTTCTTCATTTAAAACTAAACAAAGACTAAGGAAATTCCAGGGCCATTTACCATAAGAGGTGCTATTTCCTGAGGGTAGGAGACATTCAGCAAAAGCCTGATTTAGCTTTGGCATTCGGATTAATAAATTGATAGAAATTTGCATTGACCTCAAATATTTCACAAGTTTGGGCCCATGGATCTCAGTCTTTGAGCAACTATTTGAGAATATGGCCACTCCAGTGACTAGTTAAGCAGGTATTTATGTGTGAGTCACGCCAAATTCAGGTTTTCCTGTGAATGAGACAGGCAGAGGCTGACACAGGAATCTGTGTTAAGGACACCGAGTTAGCTGGAGGAGTTGTGAGAGTGAATGTTTAAGTTTCATCTAATGATGTTCCCTGTAAGTACAATTTAAGTAGAGGTAAACCATTTAAAACAAATACATTGTCATCACTCACCATGTTGAAAAATATTTATGTATATATATTTTTCAAGTATAGGCCTATCTATCCATTAAGCAAGAGAAGAACCGACCAGCAAGGCACCACTGAGGTACCCTGAGCAAGGTACCGCCCCCAAGCACTGCTCCCCTGCTACGTCACATTGTCACATATGGGTAAAATGCAGAGGACACATTTCGTTGTTGTGCACTGTGGTGTCAACAATGACAACTGATCACTAAATTCTAAAATTCTAATTTATGTGTAACGTTTACTTTTCACATAACACATGCTTTATGCGTTATAATACGTGGGAAAATGGAGTCACGGCGGAATTTGACCCCAATCCTGGTTGTATTACCGGTTGGAACAACGCCCACATTCCATGTGTAACTTCACGTTTTAAAAAGCCCTCATACACATTTAAATTGGCGAACAAAACTTGGCCAATTTACGCACTGAGATGCGAAAACAGACATATGATTTCTTTCTCAGACATTACAAAGCTAATGCTACTAGTAGTAGGCGAAACAAAAAGTTGTGCGCCGCTGAGAGGGAGCGATGACGTCGGCGGCAGGCGGGGAGTTTTTCGCGGAATTCCGTGTGATTTGCGGGCTGAATTGGGAGGGCGAGAGGAAGCGGGGGGTGCAGCCCCGTCTAGCCGCCTCCCCGTCTATAAAACCTCCGACACAGACTTCTGTTCCTCCTCTTTCTGTTACCTGGCTAGGGGTAGTGGCTGTGGTCGAGTGATCGTATAACCCTGGTAAGTACAGTGGTTAATTTCTTTTGAAGTGTCTCCCAAATATTTAATTTAATATTTTTACATGTATCTTACTACATTAACTTTTTGTCTTTTTATATATTCTAGTTTTTCCTTGTGTTAACTTTTTTTTTTTTTTTTTAGAAAAAACTTTGAGTCACTTAGTTTAGTCTTTCAATCCAACTTATTATTTTTAAGGATGTGCTTGTTTTCTGTCATTTTTGAAGAATAGTGTATATTTTATCCGCTTTCATGCGGATGGGGGCGGGCTGCCGGGTACGAACAAAGAACGTTGCCAGGAAAAGCGGTCCCCTAGGCCAGAGGAAGCGGGGCTGTATCTTTCTCATGTAAAAGTGGAGTCTGGCAGCCAGACCACCTTCTGGATGGCTAATCCTGGCATTTTCGGAATCTCGCTGTAACTTAATACGACGCTGCCCTAAGTAACACGTGTCGTACGGACCGGGCCCGGCTTGAAAGGCCGAGGCCGGTGGATGGTCGTGGTTTTTGCCATCCGATTTTCATACTGCAATTAATGTAGTTCAATAGTACTGTATATGCACTCAGTAATACGTTTTCTTCATTTTTTTTAGAAACGTAACTAATCAACAATGGGAAAAGAAAAGACCCACATCAACATCGTGGTTATCGGCCATGTCGACTCTGGCAAGTCCACCACGACCGGCCATCTGATCTACAAGTGCGGAGGCATCGACAAGAGAACCATCGAGAAATTCGAGAAGGAGGCTGCTGAGGTGTGTTGCGCGTCGGCTTTTCACGTCTCAAAACTTTTCACTTTTTAAACGTGGTCCGCAATTCAAGATGGCGGCCGAAGCGTGCGTGCTGGGCCCGAACAAGCCGGGCGGGCGGGGGCGGTGCATGCGCAGACGCGAAGGCGATGACGCTGCACTATGTCGGCGCACGTACCCCCGGGTTCCCCATTGACCCGCGAAGCCTTATAACCGATAAATTTCTGTATTTATAGCGTGGTGGTACAATTGTTTGGCGAGTGTGTAATTTCGGATTGAGGCATGGCCGCTTGTTGGTGGGATTAAGCAATGATTTGCGACCCTGATACTGGGCTGGAATGTCAGATTATGCATTTCAATGGTTTGACAGGGTTGCCAACTCTTCTTTTGTCATAAGGAATCTTACAGTGAATTTATTATGCCATTATGGAAATTGACTTAAGTCTAAAGACTAGACTGTTGTACTTTCCTCAACCTGGCCAACTGAGATGCTGTCTATTTACAGCATAGAAAGCATATAATGTATATAGGGCATAGAAAGCAATATGACCCATTGGCCAGTTTTTTTTTACATGCGTGCGTTGCTTTCAGATGGGCAAAGGCTCCTTCAAGTATGCCTGGGTGCTGGACAAGCTGAAGGCCGAGCGTGAGCGTGGTATCACCATCGACATCTCCCTCTGGAAGTTTGAGACCAGCAAGTACTACGTCAC